CTTGTAACACTCCAAAGAGAAAGAAAAAATTTAAATCGCATCATACGACCCCTTTAAAAATAATGGCTTTCAATTATACTGTAATGGTGAATGGCTATAATTAATAGGGAAAATGCACCAGCAGGACAAATTTAAAGGGTAAATGTTATCATGTCACCGGCCATTGGCAGGTGTGGCAAAAAGTTAGCTTTAGGCCCTGTATGTACACCTGCAAACTTAAAAAGAAAGAAACTGTGTAAAGGAAATCCTGGTTAAAGAAACTTTCGAGTTTGAGTTGGTCTAGATGGCACTGTCGAGCTAGTAGTTACCTGGCAAGCTCCAGCAGGGCGTTCTGTCGGTACTGTTCTTCTGGATTCGTGGGCTCACAGTCATGCTCATCAAAATATGAGGCCATTTTCTACTTCACCTGATAAACACATAAGACCATCTGAATGGCATTTGACGGAGTGGTTGTGGAAACCTGAAGGCTCCGGGTCGGTTCTAACAATGAATTTGCTAGTTCACTCTCATGTCATATAAAAATAACCTGGAGAGTTGAGAGTTTAAGCAACTATCTTTTATAACCAATGTTTATATTTTCGAAACCAATGTTACACTGATCCAACTAAGTGACGGTTTTACGATGATCTTACTATATTTACTACATTTAAGCTGCTTACTATTCAAGAGTAATTGTCAGGTAACAGTTACTCTTTCTCTTCTCAGACTTACTGACAGCCAAAGAGACATCATTGGGCATAAAGTAGCGTTAGTGCTTGTAGTTGAGCTTTACACAGATCCAATGGCTTTGAAAAGATACATGCTGCTGACATCAATATCCAATAACTAATGCCACTGCTAGCTGGCTAGCAGCATAACAATTCAAAGTTCTAATTTACCAAACATCAATCAATCTCAAAAAGTATGTACTAACCTTATGCGTCTAAATGTGTAAACAAAACAAAAAAATAATTAAATAAACGAAATTCGACCTACTAGAAATTCACCCACGGTTATGAAATTGCTATTCATCAGGATGGAAACTTGTTTCACTGCACTGTCAGCGCGAACACAACAACTCTCGCGATATTTGCGAGAGGACTGGAGTTGCCAGAGTGTGGTTAAAAAAATCCCCCAGCATTGTAATTGTTAGTGTTAAATAAGATGTACAGCAGATGTATGTCACTGTTAATTATATAAATGTTTGTTTTTAATGAGAAAACTTAGCGACATATATAGTGTTTATTAAAAAGCTTTGCATTGTGCACAGACAAAAATAAATCTCTTCAAGTTTCTAGTCTTGTAGGCAGTTAGTGGGTGTGTGTGGTTGCCATGACACTGAGGACAACAATTTCTGCTGTTCAGACCCGTTTCTAGACAAAACTTCGAGTGGAAACACATTGACGTAAGTGTAAAACCCTATTTTAAAAACCCGGCCAATGTTTGAGAGTTCTGAAACAAAGCAAAATTTGATTTAATTACTGTTAATTCAGTGAGAGCCACGAATAAAACCATGCTGCACTGTGTGTGTAGTTTTTCTTCCCAGCAAGAGAGAAAAAGTATTGTAAATGTAGCTATTAATTAGCATAAGTAAATACACATATGTGAAATATGCATTATCCTCGCATGAAATCTGTGAAGTGTTGTATTTTATTAGACTTTATGAGGTTCTTTAGGAGTCCCTAGTGTTTGTTTGGGACCCTTTCTGCTGCGTTTCCTAGGCAACCATATACCCAACAGCTCCCCCCTTAAAATTGGCAACTTTAATTTAAACGCAAATGCTTTAGATTCCAAAGAGCTAAGTTAGTTTTATATTGCATTCTCATGCAGAAATGAACTTTCTCATTTTAGAACAACGATGGAAAATGAAAGATCTGGAGAAAACACTGATGAGCTGCTCTCTGTAGGTCAGAAACCATCGAAATGTCCCTTTCATGCTTATCCTGTATCTGCTGTAGTACAAACTGCTGTATATCTCTTTTCTTCTCAGATGTGGATGAGGGGGTTGATGTTTACGGGCTTATACCTCTGGCATTGTCCCATGATCACTGTGATGTACTACTGGACGCCATAGACACACAACTGAGTCATCTACAGGTCAAGCACTTAGAGTCTGATGAAATTTTGATAAGCATGGCGTATTATTTTTGTCATAGACAGAGTAGAATTTTGTACCGATTTTGTATTCCACCAATAGATCCACAGCCAAAGCCGAATGCATGGAGCAAACTCCAAGAGATATGAATTCCCTTTCTTGGGTGAGCATGAACCATTTTTTCTGCAATAATAATCATAGAATTTTTAGTAGATTTTTAATGTCCTATTTATTTATTCTTATTTTGTCTTATTTATTTATTATTAGTAAATGCAGTTGTTTTCCTAATGTTCTATATATTCCAGGTTATCTTGATCGGAGTCAGTCTGTAAGTAAAGACACAGGCTTGGGGAGCACTGTTCCAACCAATGATAAAACCCCATCCAACCTTGACACGATTCAGTCAGGTAGTCCATGCTATTTTTTCCCATATGTAATCGAACATATAACCAAATCATTGTCCAAAGTAGAACAGTTATAAATATTAGGCATAGGCGTAGCTTGACATTTGAGCTCGAACCAAGCCAGTCGATCTGGTCAGTCAAACTCATTTGAGCTTTTCTATAGTACACCTACAAATTTATACTTCATGCACCATTTACGTGATTTTACTATGATTACACTGATCAGCAACAAGCATGTGAAGATTGTCGCTGCAACAAGATAAACTGTATGGAAATTACTTGTATATTTTAGCCACGCTAAACTTAGCAATTATAAATACATTGAAAATAACGCACTATAAACATGCTTGTCAACATAATCTCAAAGTAGACCTCTATTAAGCAAATCAAGGAGTAAATAACCTACTCACTGCTTTAAAACAGACATCTGATTCAAGTCTGCCTAAATAGCAGGCACACAACTTTTTTTCTTACGAAATTCCAAAAGAAATGCACAAGATAAATGTTAATTACTTTATGAAATCTTATGTTAGGCCTATTATATTTTTTATTCCATACCCCTACTTTAATTCATGTAATCGTTTTTTTTTTTATCTGTTTCCCCTCTAATTTAGTTAGTTATTTTTATAACTTATGCTGTCTCTACTTTTTGTTAATCTAGTGTTATTATATTTCTTACACTGGCACCCCTCTACTTTCGTTAATGTTATTTTATAGCATAATAGAATTGAAACTTTATAGAATCTAAACAGTTTCTTACAGACTGTTTCTTGGTGTCTTCTTAAAATCCATCATAATTTCCTCTTCAAAATATCAGGAGGCAAAGATGACAAAATAGAGCATCAGACAATGGAGATGACAAAGTTTGGCGTCGCAGCTACAGATGTGTGGCGTCCTGAGGAAAGTGGCAGCTTGAGCTCCGTGTCCAGGGTAGAGCAGTGTTGTTGGAGACTGGAGAGGCTTCTTGGGAGAAATGCTGAGGTGGCAGGGATGGGAAACGAGGAGGACGACGACGTCACGATGGACAGTGTCTGCACTGAGGACTTCTCAACACGCTTTGGAGAGGAAATGTTGGTCCTGCCAGCCTCAGGTACTCAAACTTAGCAAGGAGAAGTAAACAGTTACCTCTAGTCTATTATCTGATCTTGTGTGATAGGTCAGAAGGAGGAAAATGATAAAAACCACTGATAAATAGCACCAAAATAATCAGACAGGTGGCAGCAGAGCACTGTAGAAGGTCTGTTTTATGAATGATTTTCCCATTCATATTTGTGACCCTGGACCACAAAACCAATCATAAGGGTCAAAAGGGGGTTTTGAAATTGAGATTTATACATCATCTGGAATCTGAATAAATAAGCTTTCCATTGATGTACAGTTTGTTATGATAGGACAATATTTGGCCGAGATACAATTGAGATACTATTTGAAAATCTGAAATTTGAGGGTGTAAAAAAAATAAAAAATATTGAGAAAATCACCTTTAAAGTTGTCCAAATGAAGTTCTTAGCAATGAATATTACTAATCAAAAATTAAGTTGATATATTTACGGTAGGAAATATATCAATATCTTCTTGAAACATGATCTTTACTTAATATCCTAATGATTTTTGGCATAAAAGAAAAATCGATAATTTTGACCCATACATTATATTTGTCACGGTTGCACTACTGAGTGGAATGCGGAGCAAGGAACGTAGGGAGACCAGGAGTACATAATTAATAATAATTTATGCAAAAATTATTTTTATCCAAAGCGACTTACAGTGCATTCAGGCTATATATTTTTTACCAGTACATCAATCCAGAGAACTTTAATTATAACAAGGAGCACTCACGTAGCACATGAAGACATTAAACCGGACGCTGAACTAAAAACAGGGAACACTATTTAAACACATGACAAGACGAGGGGATAACTAAACACCTGGGATCAATGGAAATAAACGGGGAACACCTGGAATTAAATCAACATAATCAGGACAGGAACAGGAAACTAACCAAATATGGGCAAGGAGGGCACATGGGGAGCAAAACACACTTAAAACACGGAACAAAGTCTGACAGTATTGTTGGCTATTGCTACAAATATACCTGTGCTACTTATGACTGGTTTTGTGGTAAAGGGTTACTTACAGAAACATGAATAAAGTTACTAATAAATGGGATATAAATGTAATGTTCACTTTTTACTTTCATTTACATTTCTGTATTCCAAAACGTTTTTTTTTTCAGCTATGCCATAGAAGAACCATTCTGTGTTTCCCAAAGAACATTTCAGTGAACAGTTCTTAAAATAACAGAACTGTTTTTTTCATAGCGTGAGGAGCATTTTAATAATCTCAAGAACCTTTTACCACTATAAAGAACCTTTTGTGCAATGGAAAGGTTCTATAAATGTTAAAGGTTCTTCATAGAACAATTAATGCTAATATAGAACCTTTATTTTTAAGAGTATACTTCATTGATGTGTAGTCAGTGTACAGTATTATATACAGTAGATGTGTTAGAGGAATTTCATGTTTTTAAAGCATGCTTGCCAAATCTTCTAAAAGTCACCACAGACCTCACTGAGCCCCAGAGGAGCCCTTACCATGAAAGAGCCAAGAATGATGACGACGTCACGATGGACAGTGTCTGCACTGAGGACTTCTCAACACGCTTTGGAGAGGAAATGTTGGTCCTGCCAGCCTCAGGTACTCAAACTTAGCAAGGAGAAGTAAACAGTTACCTCTAGTCTATTATCTGATCTTGTGTGATAGGTCAGAAGGAGGAAAATGATAAAAACCACTGATAAATAGCACCAAAATAATCAGACAGGTGGCAGCAGAGCACTGTAGAAGGTCTGTTTTATGAATGATTTTCCCATTCATATTTGTGACCCTGGACCACAAAACCAATCATAAGGGTCAAAAGGGGGTTTTGAAATTGAGATTTATACATCATCTGGAATCTGAATAAATAAGCTTTCCATTGATGTACAGTTTGTTATGATAGGACAATATTTGGCCGAGATACAATTGAGATACTATTTGAAAATCTGAAATTTGAGGGTGTAAAAAAAATAAAAAATATTGAGAAAATCACCTTTAAAGTTGTCCAAATGAAGTTCTTAGCAATGAATATTACTAATCAAAAATTAAGTTGATATATTTACGGTAGGAAATATATCAATATCTTCTTGAAACATGATCTTAATATCCTAATGATTTTTGGCATAAAAGAAAAATCGATAATTTTGACCCATACATTATATTTGTCACGGTTGCACTACTGAGTGGAATGCGGAGCAAGGAACGTAGGGAGACCAGGAGTACATAATTAATAATAATTTATGCAAAAATTATTTTTATCCAAAGCGACTTACAGTGCATTCAGGCTATATATTTTTTACCAGTACATCAATCCAGAGAACTTTAATTATAACAAGGAGCACTCACGTAGCACATGAAGACATAATACCGGACGCTGAACTAAAAACAGGGAACACTATTTAAACACATGACAAGACGAGGGGATAACTAAACACCTGGGATCAATGGAAATAAACGGGGAACACCTGGAATTAAATCAACATAATCAGGACAGGAACAGGAAACTAACCAAATATGGGCAAGGAGGGCACATGGGGAGCAAAACACACTTAAAACACGGAACAAAGTCTGACAGTATTGTTGGCTATTGCTACAAATATACCTGTGCTACTTATGACTGGTTTTGTGGTAAAGGGTTACTTACAGAAACATGAATAAAGTTACTAATAAATGGGATATAAATGTAATGTTCACTTTTTACTTTCATTTACATTTCTGTATTCCAAAACGTTTTTTTTTCAGCTATGCCATAGAAGAACCATTCTGTGTTTCCCAAAGAACATTTCAGTGAACAGTTCTTAAAATAACAGAACTGTTTTTTTCATAGCGTGAGGAGCATTTTAATAATCTCAAGAACCTTTTACCACTATAAAGAACCTTTTGTGCAATGGAAAGGTTCTATAAATGTTAAAGGTTCTTCATAGAACAATTAATGCTAATATAGAACCTTTATTTTTAAGAGTATACTTCATTGATGTGTAGTCAGTGTACAGTATTATATACAGTAGATGTGTTAGAGGAATTTCATGTTTTTAAAGCATGCTTGCCAAATCTTCTAAAAGTCACCACAGACCTCACTGAGCCCCAGAGGAGCCCTTACCATGAAAGAGCCAAGAATGATCCAGAACATCCATGCAGAACACCTTTGAGGCACCTCACAGGTACAGGAGGACCTGCTTTTCTATCTGTATTTCTTAGGATCTGTTATGGTTATATCTCCTTTGTGAATCACTGAAGCAAGACCTTGTCCTCTGATAGGAATCCCCATGCAGAGTTTTGATTCAGTCACCATAGACACTGATCTGGACACAGTGTGCTCAGAACAAGTTCGACAGCACCTGAAGTCTGGAAATAGCAACAGGACAAGTACAGGTGTGGGCAACATATTAACTTATGCATGTCAAATGTCACGTGTTCTATTTGTGTGCTGAATGCATGTGTGATTTGCATGCATGCCACAGACACTCACTTCGCAAAATATGCAGATAGAGTAAACTCTGACTAGGAATACAATGGCAAATATGGTTATCTTTCTTCACATTCCTTGTAAACTACAGCTTAGGGGGTTTATTTGAATTCACTCTTATACATATATTACACAGTGATATCGCATTGTTGTGATGTGCAATGACGCAACTAAATTACACTACTGTTTGGGGTTGGTAAAAATTTTTTTTATATTTTTGAAAGAAGTCTTTTATGGTCACTAAGTCTGCATTTATTTGATCAAACATACAGTAAAAACAGTAACATTCTGAAATAGTACTACAGTTTAAAATAGCTATTTTCTATTTTTAAATATACTGCACAGCAAATTTGAAAGTGTTAAATTGACACTCACAGTGAGAAAATTAACACTTTTTCGGGGTTTATACACAGTAGGTCCACACTCCAAGACTTATTTCTACACTAAATATAGTGTTCATACTAACCCTGATTAAGGTAATTAAGTGTAATCAGTATTCGACTAAAAATACCTGTGCATTCGGTGTAAAAAAAAACAAAGAGTCAACACGCTGTATCAGTTTGAAATTTTATTTAACACATGTAACTATTACACCAACACAGAAGGTACAATATATTCACCCTCATCTGACCCATATAAACACTGCAGATCAAAAGGCCTGTAGAACAAGCTGTTGGCTTTTGACACCAGGGCTTCCTCGTAGAACAGGTTGAAGACAGTCAAGTCAAGTCACCTTTATTTATATAGCGCTTTTAACAATACAGATTGTGTCAAAGCAACTGAACAGCATTAATTAGGAAAATAGTGTCAATAATGCAAAATGACAATAGTAAACACTCATTTTTCAGTTAAAGACAGTTCATCATTCAATTCAGTGATGTCAACATCCACAGTGAACTTTAAAAAGTTCAAAGGCACTCAAGGAGCTGGTTCCAACGCAAGGGATGAGGCACTTGTCCACAATGACGTAAAAGTGGTTGATCCTGCCCTTAATCCTTCCTGATCTCAGTAGGAATGGCTGGTGGCCCTCCCTCCTGATGAGACGGCCTTCAATACTGGTGCAGGACTGGAAGAAAAAAGCACAAATTAGATTAAATAAACCAGGGGGAAAAAAAAGTTAATTATTTGCCGATACACCCTCAGTCAAATCAAGCTATGTGACTGACTGACTTCATTAGAACACAAACAAAGAGTTGTACATGGACATCCGAGAGCTGTAGGTCAATATAATGCAAGTGAACATGTGCAATCAGTTAGAGTCCAAAAGGAACATTTAGACACATTATTCCAGTTATTTTCAATCCCTTTCCTGTGTACCCACCGCTCTGCATGTTGTGTATCTCCCTTATTCAACAAACCTGATTCAGATCTTCACCTCATTAGGCAAGAGCTCCATGAAATAAACTAAAGGGTTAGTTCACCCAAAAATGAAAATTTTGTAATTTACAGAAAAGGTTGTTACCCACAGGTTGTTCCAAGCCTGTATACATTTCTTTGTACTGCTGAACACAGACATTTTGAAGAAAGTTTGTAAACAGGCCACTTTGTACAGACATTAACCATTATAGTACTTTTTTATTTTTTGCCTACTATGGAAGTCAATGGCTGCCCAAAGCAGCCAGTTTACAAACTTTCTTCAAAATATCTTCCTTTGTGTTCAGCAGTACAAAGAAATGTATAGAGGTTTGGAACAGTAAATGATGAAAAGAGTAAATGACAATTTTCATTTTTGGGTGAACTATCCCTTAAGTGTCAGGTCAGAGAAACAAAATGTGCACAGGGGTGAATCCCAAGGACTATGATTGAAAACCACTGCATTTAAACATTCACATTGACTTTGCAACAGTATTGTTAGTTTTACCTTATGGTAATGCACAAGTCTGTCACCAGCCTCTGTTGTACTGATCTTAGTCTTCTTCCTCCCTGGAGCAGAAGGCAGGAGATGCAACAGCAGCAGGACATGTGACCGTCCCAATCTGAATGAGTAGGTGTTTAGGGGGTGGTGGGCGATTTAGGATAAAACAAACAAACATTTAGTGCTCACAATAACAAGAAACCAGAGAAAAATAATATGAAATTGACATCCTCACAAATCATGCCATAACCAAAACATGTGCAAAATATGATCGTGGTTTTGCGCAGCTTGTCAGTGAACAACGGCTCGGTGTTGTAAATGCTGCTCCATGTGAAAGCACGCAAGTGTAGAGATTTACCACCGATTACAGAACCGGCTTTACTGGCAAGATGCCCATTAAATATCGCATGCGATTTATCGTGCAGCCCTATTGTCTATGCTTGAAAGTTTCCTTCATCTTTTGCATAACTTCAGCTTCATGGACAAGGAAAGAAGTTACCTCTCTGCATGCATCTCCTTCGAGTTGTTGCACATCATCTATCCTTCTTCGACTTGGTCCTCCACTTTCAGTCATCGCCAAGCCAACACGTTTTGGGTTCTTCCTCGACAAAATTTTAAGGCGCCAGGAGATGAACTCCGTTCCCTTTTCTGGAACGTAGAAATGCTCCTGTCAGAAAGACAAGAGAACACTTTGTAAGATCTGAACATTACGTTAGTCATTACATTTAATAGATAAACTACTATTACATGCCACAAAAAAGGAGCACAAAACTTCAAGTCCAACTAGATTGTGTAAAAAGTACATCAATGCAAAAGGTTCTTACATAGCCCTTTGTTAAAAACTGGTCTCTCAGGCTAGGAAAGAGAGAAATAATGCCCAAGGCATAAGTTTCCTGCTGTTTGCGGGTGGGGATCTCCTTCAATGTGTAAAAATAAATAAATAAATAGTTAATGCTAAACTTAACATTGTTTTCTACACCAATTGACACAGCTGTGTGTATTTCTTGCATCTGTGCACTGAAGTCTTACCCATGAATTGCCATCATGTGACTGATAACAATATTAACAAGCTGATGTCTGGTGCTTTACAATAAGGTTTCATTAGTTAACATGGACTAAGAATGCACAATACTTCTACAGCATTTAATAAGCTTAGTTAAATGTTAATCTCAACATTCCCTAATACATTATAAAAATCAAAAGTTGTCTGTTAACATGAATGCACTGTGAACTAAAATGAACAAACAGTTCTAGTTTTATTAACTAATACTAAAATTAGTTTGCACATTAATTAATGTTAACAAATGAGACCTTATTATAAAGTGTTAGCATACAAAAGCACTGTGGGCTTATACCTCAAGCATAGTTCCTATATGACTAAGTACATTTCTAAGCAGTAGAACAAGATTCTAAGCTTACCTTCAGTGAGAAAGTCTTGGAACCTACTATTGCTGTGCAGTTTTACAAATGTCTTCACGCCTTGATGAACATGAAAGCTGTTGGTCAAGAAAAATGCAACTGATGACTTTGTTAATTAAAAAAAAAAATCCAACTAGCCGCTTGTCAGAAGCTCCATTTGTCACCCCACAGATGTTAACGTTACATTAAAGTGAAGTCGCAGCGAGTTAACTGTAAGTTAAAGTATCTACTATTGCAGATGAAGCGCGCGCACGTCAAACACGCGTCTCATATGATGAGCAAATATTAGTTCAGTCATACGCTGGCAGAAAATATAAGTTTAGCCAAACGCTTCTTGCTTGATTATCTGATAATTTATCTCCGTTGCCTTTTACTTTGCAGACGAGAGTAACCGCTTTACATTTATACACGGTTATACTAAAATACTGGAGACAAAAATGCATTACAATGTCTTATTTTAGCAACACAAATAACGTGAGCCCCCAAGAAGGGGATATGGATGCTGCGTTATTTGCGTTAGTTTAACGCATTAAACAGTCAAGTTACAAAAATCACAGAAATCTACCTGTTATCTACCCCCGATTCTAAAATATAAGAAAACGTACGTTTAAAACGGCTAACTAACAAACAATGCCATTCTTACCTCAATTTGCTTGCTAGCAAGTGGTGCAGCTAAATGGCCTCGAGATGCTGTCGGTGGTCTGTCACGTTATCTGAAAAGAAACACTGTTAGCACTCTAGCAATGTTGAGAAATGTACTAATGTTATTCTGGATGGTGAGAAACGTAAACTAAACATGAAAATTGGTCAATTTAAGTGGTTATAAAATAATATACCTGTTTGAACACTGTCCTCTCCATTAATCAAAAAGGAAATAATGTGCAGGGACTGGAAATTGGATCAACTCATCACCAGTGTCAATTATGTCAACTCGCTGAAATTACACTGACTCCGACCACTGATTTACACTGCAAGTGTTAATGTCATTCAGATCAACACCAGAAATGAACACCATAAAAACAACTCTAAACAACACTGGATATTTTGCTGTGTGTAAAATGTGATTTATTTCTGTATGGGCAAAGCTGAATGTCAACCAGGTCACACGATCCTTCAGAAATCATTCTAATATGATGATTTGGTGCTCAAGAAACATTTCTTATTATTATCAAAGAACTTTTTAGACCTCAAACCTTTGAACGGTAGTGTATATGTCACAGTAATGTTAAAAGTAATGCTTTTTTAGATATTTAATTGGTGCATAATATATTAACTTATCTGGAAAAAAAAAATGTTTGTCTGTTCTTATGTGTGGCACTATAGCCTTTCATCTGAGCAGAGGAAATGGATGCTGTACAGGACAAACCAGCCCATTTCAAAACAATCTTCAATCCTTCAGGTACTTCTCAACAATTTAACTGGAGTTCAATTTAAGACTGGAGACAATCTTAGGAAGAGCTTATGACAGCTTGGATAATGTGTCCTGTGGTGGTGTTTATTCCATGCTGCTCTTTATGGGTGTTTATACTCAGAAATGCGACTTTAGCAGCCTGTGGGCAAAGACCCTCGTTACTGCCATGTTTGCGTAGTTTCATTGGAAGTTTTTATGTAGAGATATTATGTGCCCTCCGGTCACTAAAGTTGCATAATCTTTATAAGAAACAGCACAATATGTTCATAAGAAACATTATGCAAATATTTCTAATTAAAACCATTCCTCGCTATTACTCTGTATGTGTTGTAGCTCTGATGATGAGAGAACTGTTGAGGAGACGAGTAGTGAAGGTGCTTTGTCAAAGCTTGACTGCAGAAGAAGGAAACATTCATCTGGCAGGAAGGGGAAAATGAGACGTTTATACCGAAGCAAAAGGAATGATTCCCACATTGTAAGAGACCACAATGCATTCTCTGAACAATTACTGTATTAATCAGTGTCAGTAGAGTTAATGGAGATTAATAATTTATCATGTGCAATTATGTTTTGAACTGTTTTCAGAGCACAAAGAGAGATCGGGAGAAGAGCAGAGTAGATGGAGATCAACTCAATGAGCTGAGCATGTCACTTATTGAGCTTCAACGGCAAAAAACAGTATGAAAATCACATGATCAATCTGTTATTTCACTTATTTATTCATTCAAAATGTTACTAATCTCATTTATTAAACAAATGTGGAATGATTTCCTCAGGCCACACTTCATACTCTGGAGAAGCTGAGAGAGGAAATGGATCGAGCTAAGAGAGAGCATCTCTCTCTACAGCTCAGTGTGAGGGATAGCAGAACCCAGGCCCAGAACATCACGTATGTTCTGCTTACAGGAACCTTCACCCCATTTGCTTCAATTGGCACTTGTTCTTAAATTCCATGTTTAATGATCAATGTATATGTGTGTGTCCTAAAGGTGTGAGCTACAAAGACTGCAGGCCCAGAGGAACTTATGCTTGGAGGAGGTCAGGGTTCTGCAGGAGCAACAGGTCACTCTAGTTAAGAAACAAAAATGCAGTGAAACCATGACATCAGCCCTCTTGTATATTAAATGCCTGTTAGTATAAAATACCTGTTAGAGTTTCATTAAACATCTGCATGGTTATTTTTTGTTATAAATGAATGAATTAATGAATTAATGTATTGCTATACGTACTGTATGTATGTATGTATGTATGTATGTATGTATGTGTTATTCTCCATGCAGTATGTAGCTAGATAACATATGCACTGCTTTCTAAATCAGTCAGTTGAATGTAAATGAATGTATTATGAATATGCTGCTTGACATTCAGTGTGATTTGATGATTTAGTTTTTTACTGTCAGTGTGTAAGCCGCAGTGTGTCTGTTCTGGAGAGGGAGGAGATGGACAGACTGCTGGATAATGCCAAAGCTGAACTGTTCTCAGAACAGAGGCGTTTCAGACACACACTGGACTCTATGCAGGAGGTAGATCACTTATACACACTACACTATTAGACGTGAAACTTTAAGACAATTTTGAATTAAATACATGGCCAAAGTCAATATTGTAGAAAATACCTTGAAAATATTTTCAGACTAATTGTCTGTTTTACTGAATTATTATTTCTATTTTAATCTAGTCTTTTAATTGGCCATTTTTGTGTTAGAACAGTTGGTAAAACGAGAGATGAACAGCCACGAAAGTAGTTCTTTGGGCAAACTTAATGCCCAAATAAAAATTGCATTAATTTGTTCCTTAATTTTATATTGCCAGCAAAATAATCAAAAACATAGATTAATCTCTTTGTCATTGTCTCACTCAGAGGCTGGATGAGGTGAATCAGGAGCTGGAGCAGAGCGAGGAGGACTGCAGGGCTCTCCGACAGAAATGCACTGAGCTGAAGGAGCAGCTGGCTGATACGATCAGAGAAAAAGAACAAATAAAGGAGGTTTTCACTTTTGTTGCTTCTTCTAAATCTACAATAACAATGTTTTCAGCATCTGATACAGTTTGCAGATCAATTTCAGTAACTGTACAACACGTGTGCAGTCTTCACAAAAAGATCTAGAGGCACGAGTGAAGCGTTTTGGCGTGCTGGAGCGAATAGTTGCCCAGAAGGAGCTGCTTTTGCAGGGGACCGAAGAAACAAAGGAAGCCCTTCTTCAGGAGCTCTGTTCACTGAGAGAGGAGCACAGCTTTAAACTGAGAGAAATACAGAGCAAGACAGTAAGATTCTTTTGGTTTGTTATGGGGGTGTACTAGAACAGGCTCTCATACTAGGTTGTTTGAAAAACACATTATTTTTCACATATTTTACATTATTACAACACCTCTCTCCCCAGTCTGGCATGAACGGCTCGAATAGTTCCTGTATCAAATGAAGGTCCGTCTTCTGAAATACGAAATGTGCTGTGATTGGTTAGCTGGGCCAGTGTGTGTTGTGATTGGCAGCACTCGGCGCCTGGTCGGGAAATGTCATGCCCTTTACCATAGCTGCAAGCTTCAGTGTAAATATTGCGTCAAAATCAAATCAATTTGAGCGCGATTTAAACCCGGATGGTTGTAACTGCTCTAAGTTCGTCTGCCTTTGTAAGGCTATAACACTCGTTGCCTTCTCTAGTGCAGCTCAACCAGGTTTCGTCCCATTCGTCGGTATTTGTGATATCACAAATCCCGAAAAATATGCGTTGTAGTCCAAACGAGTCGTTCGTTGTAGTTTTTGAAAAGTGATTTCTGTTAAATAAAATATCTCCTTTTGAAGTGGACTTTGAGCTTTGTAACTTTGCAGATCTTTTTTATGCTCAAACAGCAACATTACAGACTAACTAAAGTTGAAAAAGTGAAAAAGCATAATAGGACCCCTTTAACAAATTAATATTTATTTAGCAAGGATGCATTAAATTGATCAAAAGTGTCTTCACTAGAATCCTAAAGAAAGTATCACTGTTTTCACAAAAATATTAAGCAGCACAACTGTTTTTAACATTGCTAATAATAAGAAATATTTCTTTAGCACCAAATCAGCATATTAGAATGATTTCTAAAGGATCATGTAACACTGACGACTGGAGTAATGGCTGCTGACAATTCAGCTTTGCCAATACAGAAATAAATCACATTTTACAATATATTCTGAAAGATTATGTTAATGAAAAACATTTATATGCTGGTTCACCAGCTAGACCAGCATCAAATTATCACTAGTCACCTTAAACCAGTCTGAACAATATGTGCTGGTCTTTTCAGCTGGGCATAGTATTGTTTATTACATGTGATTATCAATCCATTCTCAGGTGCAAGAAATTGAGCAACTGATGTTGCAGTTAACCAAAAGCCACAAAGAGGAGCTTCAAAAGGTAATATGGTTTATTTACTGAGAGACAGATTATTCATATACATAACGCCAATGTATTTGGTTTTATGTGTGAATCCAGGTGCATCAGCAGGCGGATGAGTTGAGATCAGCTGCCCTCAGTGACCAGGCTCAGACTCACAAACAGAGCCTGGAGTCCTTGCACAACTGCATCCAGGTCAGCTGTTACACCGTGTGCTCTTTATATCTGACAAGACTGCAGTTCAGTCTTATATACACATTCATTTCTCTCTCTTTCAGATGAAAGATGAGGAGATGAAGAGACTCAAAGAGGCTCTAGAGCAGCATGAGGAGAAGATGAAGAGGCAAGCAGAGGAACTCAAAAGAGAAACTCAGGAAAAGGTTCCCTCCCTGTTTATCTGTTTTACAAGTGCTGATGACAGATTTATCAAGGATTTTTTCCCTCCCATGTTTAAATTCTTGTTCACTCTAAAGAACCAGTGCATCTCTTGTCATTTGATCTAACAGATTAGAAAGGCTGTGAAACGAGAGGAAAGGAAGTGGGAGGAACAGAGAGATAAGGCTCTTAAAGAGCAGCGTGGGACTCTGGAGCAGCAAATTGAGGAGGCAGTGAGGAGAGGGAAAATGGAAGTGGAGAAGGAGAGAAGGAATGCACTGGCCTTACAGAGTCAAGTGACTGAGCTTCAGAAAGTAAGTGGTATCAGAAGCTGTCTTTTTATTCTTTGCATTTACACTTAAGTAAACCAGATGAGAACAGCTATGGTTACATTGAATACATTTATATGAATAAATATTCAATAATAGACAATAAATAGGTCAATCTCACAGAATGACTCAAGAACATGTCAGGGTCATGTGTAAAAAATATAAATATATTATTTTAATTGCATAGTACATTTATGCATGAGCAGACTCCTTTGTCTTCTTTGCAAAGAGATTTTTTGTATCTATATCTATACATCATGGCAGTATTTGATGTATTGATGCTAGGGATGAATTGATATTCACTCAACTCACGATGCGATACGATACGATTTTCTCATGATTTCAACAAAATTAGATTTAAGACAAATTATAAATGAAAAGGTGTCTTTTCATTGTTGCTTGGACAAAATGCTGCACATTTCTTTGTGAAATTGAAATATGTCAAATAAAACTAAATTGACATTTTCTAACACAAATAAAAGAAATGTCTTCAAAAAAACAAATTAAGGCTTTGCCTGTGCTTTTTGCATTTAATATTAGAGTAAACTACTGTATTTTAATCATGATCCAAACAAAGATTAGATTTTATCATTTTTAAATTTGAAGCAAAACCAGAATGCTTTGCTTTGTGAAACTATACTACAGAAAACATCTGAACGAAACAAAAACAGTAGATGTCAGTTATGGAACGCTTATGGAACAGCAGAAATACACAATTTTCGTGGTTACTGCTGTAAACAAAGCAGCGCTGCGCTTATGAACACAACTTTAATATGCATTATACAGAGGCAAGATGAAAAGAAAATACCATCTAAACTTTTCTAAAGACAGTCACTTCCCCTCCGAGATACATTCATATAAACTCCTTCCCCCAACTGTATCAAGATTTGTTTAACACGTCTCAACCAATTTTGTTCAAATCCAGCCTGTGTCATACTCTGATTCTGCTCTCTTTCCAAATAATCTACTATCTCTGTCAATTTACATTGCATTTACACACATTTGTATTAAGCTTCTGTCCAAAGCAACTTACAAATAAGGGACATAAGACTATTTTGCAAACAAATCTAAAAAGCCCAAAACTAAAATAAAGGAAATTAGGTATCGTTCAATTCGATATGCCATTCAGATCTTAACTACTCATGTGCCCTCAGGTCATGCTTGTTATAATACATTACAACTTTTATTCCGAATCCACTAAAGCGTTGCGAAGATATAGCCTCATGTCCATTTTTGCGTAAATTTCATCAAATTCGTTAACACGCTTTATGAAAACAGCTTGGTATATCAAAAAGCTTTTGATAACTTTTTGCCAGAATGATCTGAAGGTGATCTGAGGCAATTTTGGTGAAAATTGAACAATTCGTCTAGGACGAGTTTGAAAAGTAGATTTTTCGGACAATTCAAAATTGTGAAAAATCCTGATCCATAGAAATTTAAATTTTGGTATACATTTGACTCGGTATGAGCCATGGAATCAGAGAAAAAAGGAATTTTGCTTTTAGACCTTATGTTTCAAAAGTTATTAGCAGAAACATGAGTGCATATTTGGCCTGTTGGTGGCACTAGAGAGTTTGCATTAGAGACTCCAATTTGCTGTGGTTAATGGTGTGACTGTCCTCTATCTGAGAGATAAATTTTTGTCAAATTTGTTAACGCACTTTACGAAAATGGTTTTGTATATCATAACTTTTTGCCAGCATTGTCTGAAGATGATCTCAGCCAATTTTTTTAATTTTCAACATATTTAAAATTTCTAAAAATCTTGACCTATAAAGATTTACATTTTGGTATGCATTCGACTCCGCATGAGCCAAGGAATCAGAGGAAAAATTTGCTCCAAATTTGCAGTGGTTAAAGCTGCAATCCGTAACTTTTTTTGGTTAAAGATTATCCGAAATCAACATTCGAGCAATACATAACCAGCCAGTGTTCAAAACTATCGCCTTACTTTAGCCCGATTCACAACGGTCAGCTTATAATAATGTTTTCTAACTTGAGTGGTACGGGTAGGTTTTCGCTGGAAATTCGAGCATGCTGCCGCGTCATTACATCACGTCTGTAAACATAAAGAAGTTGTCCCAGCTACTAGGCTATTGCATGTGAGGATCCTGCAGGTGGCCGATTGTTTATAGCCTTTTCTCACAGCAGCTGGAATAATTAAATGTATCATTTCGATGGCGGACTGCAATCCAGAAACGATTATGTGTTTATGAAACACATGTGAATGAAATTAAATGATATTCCAGTTTTAAATGTGCTTCTGATTACAGATATCCTGGGATTACACAAGATTTGTATTTTAAAGACAACCAGTTCGAAGGGAGCATAATTTGCTTTTTGGGTTAAAAGAATTTCTTAATATGAAATTCGAATGGTATGACAATTAGAGATTAGACTGTCCAGAAATTGAAATCTACACGCTAATACACACTATATCCACATAGTCACGTAATGCTGATGTTAACATGAACAATTTGAGAATAAAGTATAACAATAATAATAATTTGCAAGGTTTGATGTGATATGAGCTAATCGATCTTTAGATTAAATCACCATTAGTAGCGTGATTTATTGTAATGCTTTTTTCCTCAATTGGTCAGAACAAATGTGGCAGACTTGTTACTTGTTCCGATGACAATATCCGGTGAAAATGCTTATTTGGGTCATATATTCCAAGACATAGGCTAGAATCTGTGATTGCGAAGTACAGTAAATATCCACATTGGTGTGGTGACTGACTGCCACACATACTCCTCAAAACATTAGATTCATCCGCACTGGAGCCGAGCCGCCACACAACCCACGCAAGCTAGATAATTCTGCAAACAGCTGCAATTGCAGGTTTTCAAACAGAGATGGCGACAAAGAGGCAAAACTTACGGACTGCAGCTTTAATATTTAGACTGCCCTCTATCTGTGTGCCAAATTTCATAACTTTCCCTGCAAGTGGTTCTATGGGCTGCCATAGACTCCCAGAGCGGAAGAAGAAAACTAACAGATACAATAGGTGCCTAAGATCCTTCGGTGCTTGGCCCCTAATTAAAATAATAATTATCATAATAAGAATACAAATCTAATAGTAATTTATATAGCATTTTAATTTATAGTCTTTTAAGCTTATACTGTTAGTAACACTATGTTATGTTTTATAACCTGGTATATTTAAATATTTTCTGGTTCAGTCCTACAGTGAGTGAAACTCTTCAGACCCTGCAGTCCCTTACAAAGGCCCTACAACAACATATTAATGAGCTAAAAAATGAGCTCAACTCACAGAGACGAGCTGTACTGCAGCTCAGCCGAGAAAAGGTACAAAGTTACAAACAAAATACACATAATCACAGCAACACAGCGCTTATGAGGAGACGCTGCTCATGTGTTTCAGGAGCAAGAGCTACATCTGCAGAAAAAGCAGCTGATGGAGGAAAAGCAACAAGCACTGGCTGCTCTAAAAGAGAAACTCATCCAGGTATACTGCCATTTGCACATACAATATGTACAATTTATTATAATTGTAAAGCAACTAAAAGTGTGAACTAAATTTCTTTGAATGAATGAATGAATATCTTGATTTATGTCTTTGTTTTGTTTACTGCTGTGTGTAGGAGCACATTGAGGAAATGAGCAGCATATCTCGAGCACAGCTGCGCATGAACAATGGTGATACAGATGAACCATGTGTCCATCTGCGCAGGCAGCTGCGGGCTAAAGATGATGAGCTCAGACAGGTGCAGAACAACATGGCACAGTGGAAAGACAAAACCACTGCAAGACTTGCACACAAATTTGAGCTGGAGAGGTGCGTCATATGCTCAGTTTCAAGTGGAGCTTGAATGCTTATTTTTATTTAACTTTCACAAGTTGAGTGATTAGGCCAGTATTCAAAAAACCACCACTTTCATGTAGAACAACACTACATTATTAAAACGTCTTTTTTTCTTAAGTCATGTCTCATTTCACCGATGGCACCAAGTGAACTGCTCAATAAATAAATGAACGAACTGGCTACCATGGCTCATGATTTTAAATTGTACAAAATAACTTTAAAATCTTGTTGGAACATCCACCATAACCTTTACTGTATTAATCAGGAGGGTCCCAAAGCCCAGAGCAGAGCAGCAGAAGAGATTGGAGAGACTGGAGAACGAGATGAGACATCTGACTGGGGTAAATGCCAGTTTATTTTTGTATTAATTATTACAAAATTATTAGTTATTATATTTATTTACTATTATAGTTTTTATACTTTGAACTAGCTTTTATCTTCATATTTTTAGTTTAATTTTAAATGTTAAACTAAGTTTTATTTCACTTAGTTGCCAAGGCAACATTTCATTTCGTCCAACATTTTATATTTTATTTCAATTTCAGCTCTTATTAATAATTTTAATAAAAAAAGAAAAGGTATACCGCTATCATGCTGCTGGTATAAATGCTAGCATAATTACTCGTATTCAGAACAACAGCACTTGTATTATATAGCTTAAATACAAACTGAAAACATACTTGAAGCAACATTTGCATGCTTACTCTCTCTGTAATTCTTTATGATTGTAGTAGAACACATAGTAAGTTCATCTCCCTGATTCTCTCTGTTTCTCTGCAGCAATGCCGAGACTACAACGAACCCCAGTCGGCACCCCCTGCTCTTCAGGGTGACACAGACGTCCAAAACTCTCGAGTCACCCAAGACCTCACCTCATTTAAACTTCTGCAGCACCTCCAGAGTCGCATTCTTCAGCTTCGAGCAGAGAGCCAAACCTGCTGCCCCAGCCCGGTGAAGTGGGACAGGGATCCCACAGACCTGGCTGGGTCTTATTTGGACACAGTAAATCAACCAGTCTCAGATTATTAACAAAGTTAACAAAATATTTTACAGCTTTATTTCAGTATTATTTATATATTATAGTTCTTTAAAATATTTTTAATGGTTTTTATAGGTTTATATTGTTTTTTTATATATATATTTGAATTGGCTTTTATTTTTCAGTTTACATTTTAATTTTAGTTTAATAGTCAAAAGTTATTGATTTTTTTAAATTTTTTACATTTTAACATTTATGTTTTACTTTATTTCAGTAAATCAAAAATATTTTTTAATAGTTAATTAAAAAAAATTTTTTTGGCAGATTGCTCCAGCCCAGGACAGCTATAGGACAGAAGATCACTTACCAGCAAAGACCATCTCCAGTTAACATTTACTTTCAGCACTAGAATTTGTTCATAATTTGTTGATTTTATAGGAAAACCATGTGCAAGTAAAAATAATTATTAAAGGGATAGTTCACCCAAAAATTGTGTTATTACTCACCCTCATGTTGTTCCAAACCCGTAAGACCTTCGTTCATCTTCAGAACACAAATATGTTTTACTTTATTTCAGTAAATCAAAAATATTTTTTAATAGTTAATTAAAAAAAATTTTTTTGGCAGATTGCTCCAGCCCAGGACAGCTATAGGACAGAAGATCACTTACCAGCAAAGACCATCTCCAGTTAACATTTACTTTCAGCACTAGAATTTGTTCATAATTTGTTGATTTTATAGGAAAACTGTGTTATTACTCACCCTCATGTTGTTCCAAACCCGTAAGACCTTCGTTCATCTTCAGAACACAAATTAAGCGTGTTCTGAAGTGTTTTCTTACCCTCCATTGACAGCAAGGTTACTACCAAGATCAATGCACAGAAAGGTAGTAAGGACATTGTTAAAATAGTCCACGTAACATCAGTGGTTCAACCGTAATGTTATGAAGCTACGAGAATACTTTTTGTGCGCAAGGAAAACAAAAATAACGTCTTTATTCAACAATTCTCTTCCATGTCATTCTCTGCAGCGCGATCACGAGAGTTACTACGACGCATTTAAGGTCTTACGGGTTTGGAACAACATGAGGGTGAGTAATTAATGACAGAATTTTCATTTTTGGGTGAACTATCCCTTTAATACCACCTCTGCAGAGCTCATGAGCGATGTTAATGGTCAAGACAGACAGACAGAGCCCTTCACTGTAAGTGAATGTTTCAAATAGGCCTGTTAAAGACCAAAAGATGAACTTTGATATCAAATTAATCATTCTTGATCTTAGAATTGTGTTTGAGTTTACTTTGAAATAATGAACAGATTTAGTGTGTAGCTAACAGTATTTACAGCTGGTCATTTAACTGTTAATTGTTTTTTAATGTGATTTATTATTGTAATTGAACAACATAACTTTAAGCAGACAATTCATGATTTTGTATTAATGTTTTTTTCTGCATAAATAAAATGTCACAAGTAGAGAAGTGTAATGCCAAACTGATTTTATTTAAAAACATGTCTGTCATAGTGTGATATAGTCAATATTTACAAATTTTATATTTTGACATTTGACAATGTATAAATTGCAAAAAGGTAAAACAAAATGTTTAAACCTGGGGTGCCCAAACTCGGTCCTGGAGGGCCGATGCCCTGCAGAGTTTAGCTCCAACTTGCCTCAACACACCTGCCTTCAAGTTTCTAGTATGCCTAGTAAGAGCTTGATTAGCTGGATCAGGTGTGTTTAATTGGGGTTGGAGCTAAACTCTTCAGGACACCGGCCCTCCAGGACCGAGTTTGGGCACCCCTGGTTTAAACAATAATTTAGGCCAATGTTTAAACCACAGGCAGCTTATTTTACTGTCGTTTAATAATTGCAGCCAGACTTAGAAGTGCTATTTGTTCTTCAGCTGGAAAAACAGAATCAGGTAATATGAACGACTGAAATCAGTAGATTTTGATTTGTATACCCATGCATCTCCACCAACTATCATATTTCTGTTGTGTAGATAGTTAAACCGGTTATAAAGATTAGTGCTGCTGTCTCGGTCTGTCCAGTTCTAGGGCACATGGTGACCCTTCCTAAATCAAGCTCCCATTCATTTAATCAAATTCATCAATCATTGCTTTCCATAACTATGCCATCTTAAAAAAAAAAAAAAAAGTGGACACCAGTGTTTCCAACAGACTTACACTCTATGTGTGGCGGCACGTCCCCCCGGGGAAATAAATAAATATAACGAAAATAGAAGCCTGGCTGATTGAAAATGCTAATTCATTTGTTGCCAGCAGGTGGCGCTTTTGGAGTGGCAGATGTATAGCGGCTTCCCGGGTAACAGCAGAAATCAAAGCAGCTCTGCGCTCACAAGCACTACTTTATCAGGCATTATACGAAAGATGAAATGAAAATGACATTGATGCACTGATCTATAATATATAATCATTATATAGATCAGTGCATCAATGCTTTTCTGAAGACAGTCGGTTCACTTCAGAAACACATTCATATAAAACACCCGTGCCATATTTTGATTTTGAAACGAAGTGCTCATGTTTATTCAACAAAATTAAAGCCATTTGGAAAATCTATTTGTGGCAGTCAGTTTTGATATTGTGGCGGGCACCACAAATAAGTCAATTTATGGGAAACACTGGGACACCATGAAGAAGAAAATAAAAGGAGTCTCAGGTTTTGACCAGTTGAACTTCTGCAAAAAAGTATCACACGTAAATATGGCAGATTGTAACATATCAAGCACTCTGAATTTGTACACAGTATACGAGTACACTGAAATAATATTAACTGCTTAAAGAAAAACCTAAAATATTTTGCATTGATAACCAGTAATGTGTTTGAATATTCACAGCTATCAACAGCAAACAGAGTGGATATGAAGTTGCAACTGCACATTCAACCAATGTACCACTGACCACGTTCACATAGGATACTTCCCATTTAGTCTAGTGCAAATATGGTCCCACCTACAAAAGCAGCACAGGTTGAAACAAAGAATACATGGCACAAGAGAAATCTCTTGTGAGCATTTGTGAATGGCTCATTTTGCTCTCCCCTTATGGTAATTCCTCATCTGCACTGATAAAGTTCAAAGCTTTTTTTCACACACAGTATGCTAAGGGTATTGGTAAAGATTACCCTCTATAACTCCATGTCTTCCTCTCCAGAGTTGAGGAGCGCAGGGCTTCTGAACAGCGGGCTGAAAGTCTGCTCACTGGGTGCTGTGAACTGGGCTTGGGGCTGTGAACTGGGCTTGGGAGTCTGTCTGCTCACTGCCAACTGCTTGCGCTGCTGTTTCTGTAAAGAGTCCTTCAGCCTCTGGGTGAGAGGGTCCTCTGGGGGGCGCCACAACACCAATTCCATACAGGAGCAGCTCCTGCAGAGGTGAGTGAAGGAAGAAGAGCGTGCTAAGCTAGATTTCTTTACAATGATCTCAGTGCTGTTAGTAGAAACTGATGTTCTGCTGCTGGTTTGGGAACGTTTCTGCTTCTGTTTGTTTTCATACAATGATGAAAACTTTAAGAATCCACGACAGTTTCATATAATCTGCTTTGACTTGCTTCAGTCGTTCAGAATTGGTCATTTAAAACCCACAGGAAATCAATTCTATTTACGTTCTCAATAAATGTGCCTGGTCTTATTTAGCCATTTAAAAAGTTCTTAATCAGAATCAGTTCTTTATCAATACATCAAAAATGTTTTGATTTTACATTATTGTTCAAAAGTATGGGGTCGATATGATTTTTCAAGTGTTTAATGTTTTTGAAAAAGTCTCACATAGGCTGCATTTGTATGATCGAAAATACAGTAAAACTGCCATGTGAAATATCATTGTTATTATTATAAAATAACTTTGGTATTGTAATAGCTGTGGGTTTCGATTTTCATTTTCACATGAGCCATTAGAAATCATTCTAATAAGGATGTAACGGTATGAAAATTTCTTATCACGATTATAGTGACCAAAATTATCACGGTATTGTTAAAATGTGCTGGAGATGTTAAAAAAGTGCCGACACATAAATCACTTCACCAAGTTTTATATTTAAAAATCAACAAACAACAATTAAAATGACTTTTTGTTTGTATAATCACTAAAACAATAACATTACCAATGATGTTCGGATTTTAAATGACAACTTGACTGACAACTGTTTAATAGCATGTTGAAATATCTAATGTAAATGTTCAAATAAAGCTTTGAAAAAAATTTAATAAAAAGGTAAACCTCACATTTCAGCCTTTAAATAAAGAAAAGATAAGTCAAAATGATAATTGATTAATAAATTATTATATGTATTTTATCTGCTCCATAAATAATTCTAGATAACTTATCTGATTTGTTTAAATGTGTAGAATCCACATAAGCTTGTTTTTGTTCATCAACCGGTCAAAATTTACAGCAGGGCATGCAAATTCGGTCCGTTTTTGGCCAGACTGAAACTGCACACAGGCTGAATGTAAATATAAGTCTCTGTAAATCCACTCGCTGACAGCAGGTAGCGCTTATGGAAAAGCTGAATTAGAGCAGTTTCCTGTAAACTCCGTAGACAAAGCAGTATTGTGATTAAGAACACTTCCTTTAGGTATTACATGAAGCGAAGATGAAAACAAAATGCCATCGAATCGTTTCTGAAGACAGTCAGAACCTTCAGAGGTACAGTACATTCATATATTAATTTGTATAATTCCCTTAGCACTCTTTTAAAACCTCCCAGCTTTTCCGCCCTGTTTTCACTCAAAACTAAACTACTCTGCGTGCTGTGCGCACGTGAGACTTACATAAAACTGTGCTTTATGCTGGACAGTATTTATTTATCGCGAGTTGTTCAAATCGCGGTAATCTAATACGGTTTTAATGATAATTAAAAGATGAAACTGTAATACTAACCGTGGGGAATTTGATCATGATTTATCATCAAACCGGTAACCGTTACATCCCTACATTCTAATATAATGATTTGCTGCTCAGGAAACATTTCAGGATGCCTTGAAGGATAGGACGTAGTTTTTACCTTTTTATTTAAATAAAAAAAACATTTATTTGAAATATAATTTTTTGTAACATTATAAATGTCTTTTTTGTTCATTTTGATCAATTTAATGCATCCTTGCTGAATAAAAGTATTAATTTCATTACCAACCCCAATGGTAGTACAGGCTTATTCATTAACGCTTGAAATGAAGCTTATTTATGAATTTCTTTATCAACTAAAATTTAAATGGATGTGTTGAATCAAAGAGCCAACAAGTGTCAAGCATATACAGAAAGCCGAAAAGAAGATACTCACACTGACTGCGCTACTGTTTGGGGTAGAATGTCACCAATCCCCCGCTGTAGCCCCTCTCTTAAGCTGTCGGACATCACCAGCACTGGTCTGCGCTGAGCCGGTTCCACATCAAGCTCTTCTTCATCACTATCATCTTCCAAAGTTATCCTGTACCAAACACACTCAATATATCAGGAAGACTGCCTATACAAATTTACAGTTTTTAAAGGTTGCATAACATCAGATTGAACTTTCATACATCTCATTTCTGAACAATGACTCTACAAACACAAGCAGAGATACACCCCCAGTTTCACAGATGAGGCTTAAGCCTAGTCCCAGACTAAAATGCATGTCTGGGCTGTTTTAACTGAAAGAAACTCGTTCTGACTGATCTTAAAAGAACCAAAGACTTAAACTACTTCAGTCTGTGTGCATTGAATTTATTTAATACACAAGTTTCACAATTTGAGTTGAATTACTGAAATGAATGAACTTTTCCATTACATTCTAATTTATTGAGATGCACCTGTATGTCAGTGCCATTGTTTTGTCTCAAGATGCACACCAGTAATGTTACGTCTAAGGCATGTTTATAAAAGATACTTAAATGTCCTAATTGAACTATGGCCTAATCCTGGCTTAACCTAAGCCCTGTCTGTGAAACCAGGCCACAATGATTGAAATTAAGTGAATGACGTCTTCATTTCTGTCTCACCTGTCTTCTATCTCCTGCAGTCTCCTCTGAGTGGCCTCTACCTCCATGCTTGAGCCTTCTGTGGGAACTCTGGGTAGTGGAGATGGAGTGGATGTAAAGGGCAGACCCATTTCTTCTGTCCTGGGTTCAGTGTGCAGTTGAACCAGGCTGGTCTCAGTAGGGGAAGTAGTGATAGACTCCACAGACCGTCTCTGGCTCACTTTAGGACTTGGATACTCATCTGCTCCTTCCTCTCCCATCAGCTTTCGCCGTTTAGGACTGCAGCTTCTGAAGTGGAAAAAGGTCATGAAAAACCCACTGCAGCACAGAGCAAATCTCACAAGTGGAAACAGTTTACTCACTCATCATCTGTCCTTCTCCTCTGTTTCCTCGTGTATCTTCTATCCCAGCTTTTAAGATGAAATGCACAGGCAAATAAGATGAGCAGTCTTCACTTTATTGCATAAATGAGGACTGTGTAAAAGCACAAGACCATAATACTTACGTATTTGGCATAGATCCACCTGTCAGATGACTGGAGTCTCTGGTTGGCCTGCTGATTGTGGCCAAATCAGGGTTACTAAAAGGAGCGAGGGGGGAGAATGTGATGACCTCCAGCTCGCTGCTTCCAGACCTGGTGCTCTGCATCATCCTCCAGCCGAAGATGAGCTGAAAACATCCGAATTAAATAGCAACTGCAGTCACGCAGTATAAGGATCTGGAAAAGAGAAAAATCAATCAATCAATGGTTCGGGACGTTCAGAACAGGTTCAGTACAACATGGCCTGAGTAATACTAAGGCTAACTCAAAGATTTTATCTTTACCTTCAAAAAGATTTATACATAATATGATACATTCCTAAATAATGAATGGCTATTGTTTTAAGTAGGACAAACGGTCATTTGCAGGTGTGAGCTGTATGTAATAAGCTAACTGGTCACTTGGTCATTTCATATTTTCCTCCACAGTAGGCCATGATGACATTGTAATGCTCTGAAAAAGTAAATGTTTTTTTCTTTTTTCAGTTTTGCTTGTGATGATCTTTAATAATTCTCCATTAAGAAATATTTTGGTTCTCTGGATAAGAATAACTTGAAATGATCGCTGGCTGCAGCTTGAAACATCCTCCAGTCATACGCCCCACAACATGCACAACAAAACAGTCTGTTCTTCCATTACGAACACAAACACTTACCTTTCACACGCCCCACAAAAGCGTAAAGCCAACTTCGCTTAAAATGTGGAAAAGTGGCTAAAGACAACTGGCAAGAGAAGTTGCAAGAGCCTAAATTTTAAGACGCGTTTCTAGTACAGTGTGATAGTGAACGGGGATTCACGGGATTTGTAGTTCATTGGTTTTGTAGTTCTTAAACCGGAAGTGCGCTATAATAACAGTAAACAAACTCACGTTTGGGAAGAAAGATGAGAAATGTTCTTGTTGTGAAACATTAGAAAAAACCGAGTGAAGAAAAGACGAAAATAGAAGAAAACAGATAATTTAGAGCACAGGTCGACAATACGTTGCAAAACTACAAACTCTGTAGATGAGTAACTAACTCCGCCTCTACTGCCATAATGTGTTAGTATGTGTCAGTTGTTCATTTTTAACTGGATTCAACAGAATAGCTAACTTGGCCTTAAAATGGTAAGAACTACTACCACTTTCTAAGCACATTGGTCGACTTTGCGTTAGTATGATACAGAATGTTTACGCTCAAAACTCATTAGAAGTTGGAAATTAGTTAACTGCTAGCAAACAAAATAAAAAGCTAAATATGCTGTTAAATTTCACATTTGTCTGTATTGTCATTGTCAGATTACTCTTGTCATTGTGAGTGCGCTGCTGCTGGCGCTGGCTGCTGGAAAACCTTGTGGTAAGATTTAGTACATTTAGTTTTTATTTTTGTGATTTTGATTTGTAGTCATCATTTGGTCATGTGGTGGGGAAATGACAGAAATCCCGTCATTGCGCAATACGCTTGCCCTATTTCTACAGCAATACCTTTACGAGAAGTACTGTACCAGTAGCCTACCATAGTACAAATGATGGACATAGAAGGGTCTTTGGTATATACAAAGATACGGAATCATTACCATATTTATATATTATTCAGGTATTTTAAATTAAAGATTGCCACAGAAATACGACATGTCCAAAAGAATAGTAGTCTATAACTTTTTCGTGTGTTTTTAAAATGTTGTTATTGAAGGTTTAGAGGTTTTTCCAGAATGTTTTTATAGATTTTTATTGTTTATCATCCTGTTGTATAAATTTGTTATCCTGTATAGTCTATAAATTATTCTGTGTATATCATAATAACCTATAATGTACTATGCTGTAACTACGGTGGCCGAGAAGTGCAAAGCAAATCACAATTCTGAAAACAAAATAACAAATTACAAACGCAAATGCAAGTCTAAAAAACAAAATAACAATTCAGAAAGCACAACAACAATTCAGAAAACATTATAACAAGTCAGAAAACACAATGACAAGTCTGAAAACAAATGAACAAGTCAGAAAACACAAGGACAAACCGGAAGAGTTAGGTATAGTTTGAGACAGTGCCATTGGTTTGGGATTACTCACCGCTGACTGGACGAGACATCTGTCAGTCAACGTATACAGGGAAGAACCAACTGAAGAACAGCATGGTTCTTGGAGATGGTATTAAAGTAGCTCAGTTTAAATGTATTGTATGAATTGCCCTTACTATGGAATAAAAATTACGGAGTGTATATTTACAGTTAGTTAAAAGTGGCTGAAAAACATCAGCTCCAGTGTTGCAGATGGATAAGCGCTTGACATTGGCTTTTTGAAGCGATCGACCCGGGTTCGATCCTGCCTTTTGCCAAACTTTTTTTTCCTCCCTTTTCAAATCTCGTATTAGCAATGGATTCTATTTACACTAAGTGAAAATAGCAGTATTTTT